TGGATGGTATCACTGTCCGGTGTGGCAGAAATCGAACCAGAAAAAAAAAGAAGTTTGATAATATGTTAGTGACGCCTAGTGGTCATATGGCATAAAGCACCATGAAATCCACATGCATGGCTAGTTAGATAATGAATTTTATATTGAAAAATCATGAATCATCCGGATATGGTGGTGTTTCCTCCTAATTAAAAATATTATCAGTGAGAGTATTCTTCAGATTGTATCATGTTTTTTCACTAATTCAACTGAATCCCAGAAAATATAAATAAAAAAATGTCATTTTTGTTTCATCTGTGAAGAAAATGTCAGCATACACTGTAAGGGAATGTGGGATCACCTGAACTGCTGGTCTCCTGCTTCTCTGGGGGAAATGGTCTCTCAACCATGTCCAGAGTTTTTCAATTCAGAAGGTGAGTTACTATGCACTGACGCACAAACAGACTGACATTATCTATACCACATTGCACTGGTAAATTATTTGCTAGGAAGCTCATTTGTTTCCATAAAATAGGAGACAGCTTCTTACTGTGAAGGTCTCTATCCACACATTTAGCCATAAAATGCTAGTGTACATAGAAACACTGGGTAACACATTGTGCAGAGTGCTGTGCTTATGATGGGAGGTAATAATTTATTTGAAGAGTCAGAGGTTTACTGAAGGGAAATAATAGTTTTGCAGCTTTTTACTGTTCAATAAATCTGTGAACACAAACCTACACACTACACCCCCATGAACAGCAAGAAGAAAACATCTTAAATCAAAAGATCCATGATTTGGTTTCTATTTTGCAGGCATAATACATCGCAACTGCACCGACAGCGGCTGGTCAGACCCACTCATCCCATATGAAGATGCATGTGGCTACACTTTCAATGACACACTACACTTTCTTAGAGAGGTTGGTGTTATCTAATATACATAAAGTATTGTAGTTCATACAATATGTGGGATAATCATGAGGCACAAAAAACCCAGTTCTGAATTATCAAAGTACTCTACAAGTTAAGTGCTGATATAATGTACCTCAGAAGAAGCCAAAAGAGAGAAGGAGTTACATTATGTGAGTGAGCTAAACATGAAGCTTCTGCAGGGAAGCTAGCTTCATATTAGCTCAGATCTAAGAGGGGTATCAATCTTCTTACCTGTCTCTTGGCAAGAAAGTGAATAATTATTCTTTTAACAAAAATTAACAGCACTGTTTATTGAGTGGCAGCTGCACTGTAAAATCATGCTGTTTGAGGTGATAAAGATATGCTCTTTCGCCATTGTTCAGTCATCAGATTCCCATTTGTATTTCTCCTACGTGAAGACCATGTACACAGCCGGATACACACTGTCTCTCATCTCTCTTACCATCGCCATCGCCATATTTTGTCTGTTTCGGTAAGAAACATTTCTCTCTGCTTCACTGCTCAGGCCCTTCAAAACAGTTTTTGCATAGAAATATCAAATCATGGCTGAACCTGTGCTAAAAGCGGAAGACTTATACAGTATCCTTAACCTGTGTATGTTTATATGCCTTTAGGAAGCTGCACTGTACCAGAAACTACATTCACATTCAACTGTTCATCTCCTTCATCCTGAGAGCCCTCTTCATCTTCATCAGGGACTCTCTGCTATTTACTAATGAGGAACTCTACCACTGTGACTACTACCCAGTATGGATGGACTGACTCTTTTCATGTCATACTCTACTTCTTATTCTCACATTATACTGTATCTGATTAACACCCCTTCTGCCCTGTGTGGCAGGTGGCATGTAAGGTTGTGTTGATGTTTTCCAACTACTCCATCCTGGCCAACTACAGCTGGCTGCTGGTGGAAGGTCACTTCCTCTTCACCCTGGTGAGCCGCGCCTTCTTCTCCCTTAAGAAACACCTTGCCTGGTACATCATCCTGAGCTGGGGTAGGGAGACATGGTAACAAAAGTTAATATAGCAAATACTGACTCTGTAACTGAGGTTTATTTCATCACACAGGTTTACCGTTAATAGTTATTGTCTGCTGGGGGTGTGCAAAATATTATTTTGAAGACGAAGGGTAAGGGGGTTAAAAAAATCAAATTCATTCATTCATTAGCAGTTATGAGATTAGTTCATAATGTGATTTTTAAACTTGCTACTGTACTTACTTTGCTGCCATAGCTGCTGGGAAACCAGGAATCAGGCATGGATTTGGTGGATACTTCGAGTGCCAGTTCTTCTGACTATATCTGTAAGAGTTCTCTCTTTTACCTATATTTAATTCTTTTCATGACAAAACTATGGCATTTGTGCTTATGCATAACAATAGTGCTCACAGGTTTTAATAATTTCAGATGAATCTCATCTTTTTCTTGGGCATTTTGAGGATACTGGTGAGAAAACTGAGAATGCCAGATGCACAGAGGAATGAATTCAGCCACTATCAGTGAGTAGTAATCACACTGTGGTATTGTTATACCATCATTGCTTTATATTGTATGACATGTAAAGTTGAGGCCAGTAGTTGTTTTGATATGTAAATGGAGCATATTTGAGAAATGGGTCATGTACCATTCCTATCTGCCTTGTTAATCTAAGTAGTAAAAGCAGATAAAAAAAAAGGGGGCATATGCAAATACAAGGACATTTATACTGAAAGGAAATATCAGTTAGCTGGTAATTTAAGCCAAGGCTTAGGTTTGGTAGGTTCCATTCCAATGTTTCAAGCAATCTTACAGAGACTGAGGTGTTTGCAGCCTTCAGTCAGAAAAGCTTGAATTCACTGGGTGCTATCACAAAAAATGTGTGACAGATGACAAAACTATTATTTGTATAATTAATACATTTTTAAAAATACTTCCCTTTCTCTTTCCCCAGGAGGCTGATCAAATCCACATTTTTTCTGGCAGCTCTCTTTGGTCTGCATTACGTCCTGTTTGTTTTCTTACCTGTAGAAGTCGGCAGCTCTGTGTTTAAGATATGGACCTTGATAGAGCTGGCTCTGTCATCCACACAGGTAAATTACATGTGTGCATGGACAGATTAAGAAATAATAGGCCCGTCAATGACCTTTCTCTTTCCATGTCTGTCAGGGTTTTGTGGTCGCTATCCTCTACTGCTTCATGAATGAAGAGGTAAGAACTGGTTGGTCAATTAGAGCCAAAACGTAAAGGACAAAAGTTAAATGTTCTAACTGGGGATCCATGACCTGTACATTAAAAGGTGCAGCATGAAATTCAGAGGAGGTGGAGGAGATGGAGGCTCAGCCAGAACCTGCCCAGTTGGCCCAGGCAGCATCACAACTCCATCAGCCACAGCGGGTCTCCTCACACACAAGCGCCCCTGCTGCTCTGCTCTACAGGCAGCCCCACAACCACAAGACCCCCTGTGGATACTGCGGAGATGTGATTCAAGCTGGGGTTGGCTCATATGTGCTCTAGTGGCCCAGCTAGTATCCTACCAGTCTGGCTTGCTCATAGCAGTTACCTGTATGTGGCAATGATTTGTTAATATGCAAATGTAACACACAGTTTTATTTAAAACACCGGCATGCAAAATATGGGAAGAGTCCAGTGGGGTTATTTACTATCTAGACTGCTGGGGATATTAAAACTGCTAACATTCTGTAAAATCAATGACAGGGTACTTCAGCTATTTAGTATTGCACTTCCATAAAGTTGGGGGACCTTCTGTCAGATTAAAGCCTGGCCTTACTCCAGGTGTTTCTTAAAGACTACAAAAGAATCATGTTTTGTTGGAAGCCCAAAGGACAAGTCTTTATTTATGATCATCAGTCCTGTATACAGATCCTTTGTGTTTAATCACTTTTATATAGGAAATATAAACGGTCTGCACAAAAAGAAATGGTTTCAACATTTTGTGCAAAAAATACTTATTCGCTTTCAAGTTACTGATAACATTTTCATGTGTGTTCACTAAACAAGAAGCTAGAGCCAGCAGGTAATTAGCTTAGCTTAGCAGAAAAAGTGGAGGCAGAGGAAAATGGCTAGTTTGGCTGTGTAGTTTTAGCTTTTGCACTCAAAAGTGCATTGTTCTCTAAAATGTTAACCAATTATGACTTGCACAGTAACAAAGTTACCATATAAATCACTTCTAAACAAGATCCTTCAATTTGCAGTTTCTACTGAGAAGAAAATTTTAGGTTTACTCACTTTTATTGGCCAAGTACTGTATGTTACACACAAGGAATCTGCCTCCGGTACAGGACCGAGGCAGCTATCTGCAGCGCCAACTCACACACAGTGGCAACAGCACTGTCTCTGCAAAGTGCTGCCTCCTGAGTGACAATTTAAACACTATAGCGTTTTTCAGAAACAGGTGCTAGATTCCATATTTGGCCTTTAGCTTCTCCACCAAATCAACATAGGATGCCATCGCCTCATCTTTGGACAGACCTGGTGGTTTGGAAACAGACGAAAACAAACCAGTTTGATTTTTTTTATGTCAACATTTTAAAAATGACATTTATGAAACAATAATCTTCCCTAAAGCTATATTCTTAAACACAGGTTTTACAGATTCTTACATATAGCTTTCCTCAGCTGGAATTTTTTGTTTGTTTTAAACTGACCTTTCTTTGCATTCCATGCATCCCATTTTGCTCTTCCTGTGAAGTCAAATATCCCTGGACGCTCTGTGGATGTAAAAGCAATCATCAGTAACTGGGCTTAGAAATAGGGATTACATTGTTTTTAGTATTATTAGTATTGTCATTTGTTCAAATACAAACTGTCAAGCTACACAACAACAGTACAGATCCAACACATTTGACCTTTTATTAAATGTAACAACTCCCTGAACATTTCTGTCATTTCATTAACTAAGCACTGTGATCCATTGTTTAAAGAAATGCTGTAATACGACACAGCAAAAATGCTCTAGTAACAAGTAAAAGTCCTGTATTGAAAGTCTCACATAAGTAAAAGTACACAAGTATTTGTAGAAAAATGTGCTTTAAGTATCAAAAGTACAAATGTTCAGTGCAGAAAAATTGTCCCCATGAGAGCGCTGAGAATATTGGTCCCATGTCTTCTGGGGTTTTAAAAGTTACACAATTATTTCAAACTCAAAAAAAAATAAATAACTGAACTCCTGGGGCAGGAGTCTACGACCTCAGTTTTTAGAAAACTTGGACGATTATACAAAGCAGCAGTTTGCGGTTGTAGAACCTGTTCGATACTCTGTACCTACGACTGTCAACTAAATGTAGTGGATTGAACAAGTACAGTATTTCCCCTGTGAAATTTGGTGGAGTGCATAAAGTAGCCTAAAATGGAACTACTCATATAAAACAAGTGCTTCAAATGTAAAATGTAAAGAAATATGGCCCATTTGAAACTAAAATTTCAGGGGCTTTACAATCCTCATTTAGAAACAGAGCTTTTTTTCTTATGTGTGCATGCAGTCAAAAAATGTTTCCTCCATTTGTGGTCATAAAAGGTAAGATAAACATTTTTATGCAACCTTAACAGCCTTCATTCATTCATTCATTCATAACTTGTCAAACCTGTTTTTGTACCAGCCCCACCCTAATGGAAATCTTCCTTTGCACACTGGCTCACTCACACACAGCAGAACAGTCATTTTCAATGTTTTCATCTGAATTATTCACTGTCAAACACCTTTAACTCACCTATGTCAATATCACCAACTGTGGCTTGCTTATATAAACCATATAGTTCAGATATCTCTCCTTGGCCTGGTCTTTGTTTCAGTACCCTGGCCTCCTCTACTGCTTTTTCAAAGGCTTCCTGGTAGGAAGAGGAAAAACACATCTTGAAGTCATACTTGCTTAATATTTAGTTAAATGTGGCCTGATGTTCAGGAACAAGCTCAAACACACCTCATTATATTTACACAACACTCTACACGTTGCTAAGCAGTGCGCTTCCTGCTCTGTAACAACTTCATTACAGTCCCTGTGAATTTGGATAAGTCAACATACCTGAGACCATAATTTTGTTTTCTGTAGGAAAGAGATCATACTTACAGTCATGGCTGCAGTGAGAGCCCCACACGTCTTGCTGCTGCTGAACTCACACTCTAGTCAGTCAGTGCTCGCCCGACTCGTCCTGCATTAATGCTTGTTTGTTTGTGCTGGGAGTTGCTGAGGAAAATAAACTGGGAGGTAGCTGTGAGCTGAGGCAACTGAGACTGTGTTCATAAAGGAACAGTATGGTTTGACATGACAACCTAAGTTTTTAAACACTTTTTTTTGTTTTTACATATTATACTGTATCTTGAGGTCTAAATATTTGAAACCTGCTGTGACTTGTATTCCACAGTAATCATATTCACATTACCTCTAGTTAACACTGGGAGTATAATGAAACATACATTAAAGGAAAGATGATTCTTCCACCACAAGATGGCAGCATCCACATATTTCTAGATCTGACCTATCAGCCTGAGATTGGACATTTTTTTCTTTAGTTGGGTAATCATGAATATTAGTCTACTCTTCAAGGAATTTAAAATAGCTACATTATTATTATAGCATTTCACCCAGTGGGCTTCACAGCTACAAACTAATCTATTTCACATTATTAAACAGAAAAACAATAGTGGAAAAAAAATATTTCTATGTTCTATTTGAATTTTTTTGGTTCCTGTCTTTATGGAAACAGACACTAAGTTAAATTTCAGAAAACTGCTGTGACATTTTAATTTAGAATCACAAAACGTCAATCATGTAACAAAGTCATTTTTGGCAAGAACAAACTGAGAACACACAGGCTCATACTGAACATACAACGTGCTGAAATCACACAGCAGGAAACTGTCTTTCATGTTCACAGTAAAACAAGAACAAAGTTCTGTAACACATTTTTAAGTCAGTTGTATACTGACTGATTCTTATCAACAGGTGGGATCAGAACATCACTATCAAACTAAAAAATTATTTGTAACATGTTCAGAAACTCACACACTTGTCTGTAGTTACCAGTGTAAATTAGGTCACAGCAGCCAACCGATACAAATTGCAGGTTTCCACTTATGAACAATACCTGAATAAGGGACTGTACGCAAATGATGTGGGGGGGCTGTTTTTATATTTTAAATCACCCTTCCCTTAAGAGATGTATACAAATGAGCTCAGGACGACAGTGCTGACAGCTGCTGTTGCTAACATGATCAGTTCTGGAGGCCCAATCCTGAACTCACAATCATCTCTTCTTTGTTTGGTATTTTGGTCAATGTAACCAGAAGCGAATACTGTTCTTCATCAATTATGAATTGAATCTTTAAGCACAGTAACAAAAATAATACATTAAAATAAAAGGCACAAGGATGAACTAACTACTCATTATTTGAATGCATAGTGCCATAGGTTTGAGGGGCGGCCGCTCTACTGGTTAATTCTCCAAGGAGAAACTGGTTAATTTGTTGAACAGAACAAAACACATCTCTGAAATCTCTCAGGCCACAGAGACACACCTGTTTAAATCATTTGTCTTCTGTGAGTGTGTCTGAGTGGCGTTTATATTCACGAGTGCACACAGCTCCACTTTTACACCTTTCTGTCTGGATCCTCACACACATCTAACAGCATGTTTCTCACACATTGCTGACATCCTCCAGCCCGTTGTGGTATTCGTCATCCGGCAGGGCGAAGCGGATGTGCTTGCTCTTCTCCCAGCCGCGACGGATCCGTCTGAGCTGCCAGGCCACGCAAGGCACGAAGAGAGCCAGGCGGCCCAGCAGAACCGTCAAGGGAAGAATCAGAACGAGTAAGAAGGTGGGAGGCAGGTAGAAGCGGTAATGGTCTGGGACGAAGGCACGGTTCCAGCCATAGAAGACTGCATGGAGGGTGGCCATGGACAAGGCACAGTAACCTAGTGTGGACTGCAGGAGATGAAAGAAGGGTGTCACCAGTTGTGTTTGGAAATATGACCCACATTGTTAAAAAAAAAAAAAAAAGAGTGGGAGATTATCCCTTGAAGAATTCATGCCAGTCTGCTACATTAGCTCACTGTGGTACAGGCTACTGCAGACCCTAAGGAAACACACTGACCCAGCACCCATGACCCAAATGAACCCCACCAGCCAATGTACAGTATGTGTGTGTAGATGCCATATAATGCACCACTAATTACAAAAACCTCCCAAGGCTGACTAGGCTGGAGACCAGGGGTTAAAAATAACCTCACAGTTCTTTGTACACACACTAACTGGGCTGAGTGAATCATATTTATTTCCACTTGACAGGAGTGATGACTTTTTATCAAAGTACTTTCAAAGTACTGAGGGAAAACAGCAGCAATTTTAATCATTGTAAATCAACAGTAAAAGCAACAGGAATCCCATGGTGCATCTAGAGAACTGCAGTGGAGTTTACAACGGACTTTGGTCTGTGAAAACTTTTCTTCTGTTTATTTATTTGTTTGTTTGGCAAAAATGCTATTCTTCTAATTTTCAGATTTCACATGGGACACAAAATGACACCAAGTTAGGAAAACCCTCACTTACACTTTTTGAAGCATCAAAATACTGTAAATGTTGTATATGCTCATCACTGAGTTTTAATTATTGTTGTTTTATTTTTTTTTAATAAAGTGGTCATTAGCGCATGTTGGAGTCAGATGGAGTCAAAACAAAGTGTGCAGTGATCAGTTCCTCAAGAAAATAACCCAAGTACACCTCTTACATACATACAGTGTATCTGTACCTGCACACAGTACCTCATCAACAGGCACATAAAGTACACACTACACACAAAGACATGGCCCTGAAGCTGGGGACAGCAGCTCCAGATGAGCTGGGTAGAAGCTGCCTTTTATCACACCACTGTCGGCACATGACTAATCTTGTGACCACCAGATTACAGAAATATGAAAGTGGAAAAGCAACACAGACGAACATCAAGTCCTGGAAAAATGGAGGCTGTGACAGAGGAAATCAAGGAGGGGAAGAAGAAGGGAAGTAGGGGAGAAGCACACGTGTGTGTGTGTGTGTGTGTGTGTGTGCGCATGTGTGCACTGAATCACAACACTCCTGATGGCTCTGTCACAGCCCAAATTTAAAGCCAAATCTGGGGCAGCTGCAGGAGTCACACTGTTTGTATGTGTGTAACTGCGAAAACACGAGCATATAGGAGACATAGCACACATCTGTCTACACGTCAGCCTGACACCCGTCTATATGTCAGGCCAGTCTCTGTCTATTATTCTGTGCCGCTTACCCTGTATGGCATGCAAGAACAACAGCAACCTGCCCTTAAAGCAGCATATACAGTATATTCACCTGACATGTCTGTGTGTGACTATGCATACCTGTATGAAGCTGAACTCCCTCCAGTTGACAGTGCCGGCCACAGAAGGCAGAGAGGTGACAGCCAGAAGAGAGAGCAGCCCAAGGGCCATGATGCCCACAGAGAGGTACAGCTCCATCCTCCACACCTCCGTGTCCACCCATGAGTTCTCCAGCCCGTCCTTCACCTGAACAATAAACACTAAATATGTCAGTGTGTCCAGGGTACATTTAGTTCCAGTGATTCTTATGCTACTTATGTAGTAACAGTCAAGCCTGGTATTAAATTGGTTTTTGCCTGATACACAAATACATTGATGTAAGCAGAACAACAGCGCCCTGATGTCAGGCACGTGGGCACATAATTCCTGCAATCATCCACTACGAGACAAAGACCAGAAACAGTTAGCCACTGCTTGTGCAACTGCAACAGAAACAACTACATCACTTCAGTATTTTGGTACAAAATTTGATTAGATTGAATCATTTTTGTTTTTGCCAGCACTGCAGTAGATAAAGAAAATTTAAGAACTCTCACTACACTTGCCTATCAGGATCAGAATTAGCCTGATGAATTTAAGACACCCACACACCTCTGCTTCTTCCTCACCTGTTTAACAGCAGCGTCGAGCAGTTTGAAGCGGGCGGACTTCCTCATGGGAAGACACAGGCTGTAGATGGCATGTAAAACCGCACACAAAAAGCTACACAGCCCAAACTGCTTCCTCCTGGTCAGCCACCGGTCCAGCCAGTTGGGGAAGCGATTGTACTTGGTGCCCCACCACAGCTGGAGGAAAGCAGCAAACAATCCAGGTAGATAGACCAGTGCTAACATCACCAAGGCCACTGAAGGAAGAGTGACATTAACAATCTCAATGGGCATTTTGTAGAAAGCACTCTTCCCTGCTGTGATGTAGGGCTGCAGGACATCACGGGTAAAGTTGTACAGGTAGAAGAAGAAGAACAGAAATACGGTGCAAAGGACAGGGAGGTGCCAAGAGGGAAACAGATATAAGGGGAGATTCTCGATCTCCAGAGAAGAGGACAGCAGGCCCATATCGACGGGAATGAAGCCCATTCTGCGACAGACCTGCATCACCAAGCTCTTGGCCTGTTGACTGTCACTGCACAGGAAAACCTGGAGAAGAAAAGATGATTAAAAAAGTGAAAGAGTTCAGGGATCTTCACTAAAATTCTCTCTTCATAACTCCCTAATTCTGAACTCCTCCATCTTCTTCTCCCACAACATATCTGACTTCCAAGTCCAAGGTATCAGTGAGCATATCAACTGTTTTTACATGCTTGAAAGAATAAATCAAATCAAACTTTCATGAATCTGACCTATAAGGAGCTGTTGACGTGCCCTACCTGCCTGCTTCCATCCCGAGGGCCCACCTGCAGCATCCAGGCAGATATGGTGTTAAACCCTTTGACTACAGAACTTTCTGGAAACAGATCAGCCAGCTGTTCAGCATTGGAAGGCCCTTCTTGGTTGATTCGCAAACCATTGCTAACATCCACCAGTGTCTTCCCAGCTAGTGCTGGCTTTAATTCCACCAGTGTGGAGTGGTGCTCAGGGAACACAGCGACAAAGACCAGGTCTGCCTGACTGGCTGCCTCCATCTGGGAGGTCACCTGGAAGGCAAAGACAGAAATTATCAAGACAAGTACACACATATGAGAGTAAGACTTTAAATAAGATCATCTATTTATCATATTACTAACAACAGTTATTATCTCCAGATGTAGAAATGTGAGTAAACTTGTGATTATCAGCAGAGAGAGAGAAAAAAAAGAACACCAATTACACAGTGAGTGTGAATATGAGTGTTAGTGCCACTGTGTGTGTCACCTCAGCCTCTTCAGGGAAAAGACCCTGAGAGCGTTTGGGGACTCGACTCCCCACCACCACCTGGTAGCCCGAGGTCACCAGCCTTCTGGCCAGCGAGCGAGAGAAGTCGCCCGTACCCAGGATGCCGATCACTGGAGCACCAGGTTCAGACATTGCAGCCTCAAGGTGTGTGGAGCTTCGTCCCTCACATCTGCCTCGGATTAAAGGCCTTGACATGTCATCAGGCATAATACACTGACAAATCTAGACAAAGGAGACAGGGTCACTTTTGAGGGTAAAAGAAAAAGATGCTTTCTTAAATCGTAACTAACAATATAGATAGACAGATAGATATATTAATAGATACTCGAAGTAAAAGTAAACAGTGCTAATAAAAGATATGTAACATAGGTTTCTATGCGCCTGTCTGATCTTATTTTAGAAGACAGAACTAGGATTCCCATTATCCGTGTCTCAGTTGACACGTCCTAGATCCATAACTCTGCCTTACCAATGCAGCGCCCCCCCCCAATCACAGCACACATGCTTAGCACTCTAAATGCAGTAACCGCTAAAACTGCAGCTGGCTCCAAGACGTTAGATGACAAAAACACTTTCAGGCACATTTAACTAAACAAGCAAACAAAACTTTCGTGCAAACTTATGAGCCGCCGTTAGGTTTGGTAGAACCAACTTGGTTATGGTGCGGGAACCGTAATAACACTAGCAATGGTAACTTAAATATGAAAGCTTCTACGTTAAGTGCTGTTTTGGGAATCATCCAACTTCAAGTAGAAATTAAAAGAAAAACGCTAGCTTTCAGAAACCGTCTCAGGTGTTATTATCAAAGCCGACCCATAAGAAATAAAATATTAAATTGCTAAAACCCATATTAATATTCTCTTCAGGACAAAAAGTGCTAAAGACATCTTTCTTGTTGCCCTTGGCTGAACTCGTGGAACTACCACAAAATAAAGTTACTTTCTTTGTCATACAGCACGACGCAGGCAAACAAAGGTGTACATTTTGATAGCATAACAGCTATATAGTATACAATTTCGCTTCTGACAACACTTAAAACCATAGTTTTACTTACATTATTTACAGTTACTTACGCACGCTGGCTCTCCGCTTACTGTCAACTGAAGTGTTCCTTCCTGATAAGATGACGTACCGGCCAAAGCCCCGCCCTGACCACGCCCCCGCGTGTGTGCACTAGATAAAGAAGACGCTACTGAACAATGTATGACTCTATCAATGAATATGATTGTAAGCCACATCAAAAATATTCACAAAACAAATTTGTATGTAGCAGGAAGAAGTAAAAGGGAAAGCGGGAAATATGAGACAGACCAGACATTATATAAAATGAAGAGAATTAAAGGCACAACCCACAAAATAAATGACATAAAATAATGAGAATATTAAGAAAGCAATATGCTTTGGCATTCTATTACAAGAGAAAGTTTTATCATTCTCCTATTACATTGGATTTCCACAGTGGTTTCCCTGTCTATTCCATCTGCTGTTGTTGAACTGATGTATTGCCCTTGGGATTTAAATAAAAAAAGCAAAGGAAAATTGTGTTAAAAAGATTTCTGACTGCAGGCTACACACTGTCAGCATGACTTCATCATGTCTGCCTTTGCCACATGCAAAAGCCTGAATCCCCCTGGCTTATGGTGCTGCATCAGTGTCCCCACACACAAACAAATACAAACATTCACACACTCTAACACACACCAAATGCATGCTCTCTTTCATTCTCTCTCGGCCGTGGCCTCATGCTTGTTTACAACGCTTAAGGTCACAGCCCTTGACATATATATCTGATTTTGAGATTCTTCATTCATAGGTTTCGATTACTGGTGTCTCCCAGTGGGGTAACCCATTAATCTTACAAATCAAATCACCTGAATTATTCTAATCCAGTGGGGACAGATTAAATCTTACTACTCTCCCTAAAACAAGCCTGGTGATCTGAAGCGAAAATGTTAAAACAACAAACACTGACACGGTCTCTTAACATTTTCTGGCCTTTTATGCTGCCTGCAACTACCCTAGTGATTAAAGAGTTGTGATGTTAATTTTAAAATGCATTTTAATTATGAGTATCAACTCTATGACAAATTCTATAGTTCTGTCATTTGCATGCACGTATATAAATGGGCTGGATGTGAAATTATGTGGCAGAGAAATAAAGGCACAGTCATAAACAATCAGCCTGAGGTGGAAAGGTGCACCCGTGTTAACATGTGACAGGGCGTCTCTGTCAGAGTATTACATAGAGAAAGACGTTTTGTTTCTGGATTAGGGTCACATGCTGAGACAGGCGCTGATGCTGCAAGTTCCCATCACTGTCTTGTTGTGGTTCAGTGACTGTTTCCCACACAGATTTACAGTAATACCCTGTGGCACAGTATGTCTCAAACATCAAATGAATGAACAGTATCTGTGGTCCAGTGGTGCAGCCTACTTCTTGTATGGTGGCCCTCAGAAATTCTTAATTTCCCTTCTATGATATTAAAAAAACATGCTAAAAAAAGCCTTCATGTTTCAGTTTTTAGCTGATTACATTCAACATACAGTAGGGGGTGCAGGCAGCTAATGATGGACTGATTCATTTAGCTCACCGTATGGTTTGTATGCCACAGCAATGCTCTATAATGCAGCATGATTAGGAGCACAGCAGTGCCACGGGGCAGCATAATCTCAGCAGCTGTGGTGCATAATGTGAAGAGTGTGTCGTGCATGGCTCACCACGGCCTAAAGATACAGTTCACTGTACTAATCCTGAGTAAAGGTCACTTCTGCAGTCATGTAGCAGAGTTGGGAAGCATATTGTGCTCTTACTTCTTTCTATTCTTAGTGATTTGTTTTGTAGATGAATACTATGTTGATCATCTCAGTGAGCTGAAGATTTTTTAGCTTTGACAGGACTGTCATCACATTTTAACCTCAGTTTTATTTTTGACCCAGCTCTCATGACTTCTCACACTCTCTCACCTTCAGACAGGGGCAGCCGGAGCCGTGTTCTGGGGAGTTAAAGCTGAGCTGAGCACAAGTTGAAATTGCTTGGGGGGGGTGCAGTGTGACCGCTAAGCCTCGTCTCTGGCCTCTGAAGATTTCTTCACAGCACCTTGAGCTCTAAAGCTTCTGTTGTGGATGTGGGGCCTGTCCTCCAATTCCAGGTGCTTAGCTCCCACCCTGCTGTTTTGAAGTATTATGGGAATTTTGAAGCTTGAAGATGCTTTTATTTTCAAGGAGCAAAGGTTCTCTTTATTGAGTGTTTCAAAAGCTTGCACAAATAACCAATGAAAGGCATGTGTAAAACTCTTATTCAACTGATGTACTCATAAACCACATGGCCAGAAGAAGTGCACAATGGAAGGATTTTTCTTTTTCTAAAGAGGCTAAAGGGGCATTTAAGACAAATCTGTATGCAATAATGATTGCCTGTGCACAGCAAGAATTTTAATTTGTCAGAGAATCTAAATTCAAGGCCTGTGGCTCTCCACCTCGTGAAACAAGACATCAAATATGTCCCTGCAGCCACAGGGAGCTTGGAGCTGAAGGTGTCGACAGCCATCAGACATCTCTGGTCCATTTCCTTCATATGTTATGTGCTCCACAACCCCACCCCACCACCACCGTCTGCTTTTCCTGCTCGCCCTCTGTCTGCTTGTGGTTGTGTGACATGACCGATGCTGCTGGTCATTTGATGTCACCACAGTGAACCTGCCTCCAACTATTTGGTTCTGACTTTTAAAGGACCCTTCATGGTCTGAGTTCAATATTTTAGCACATATTTGGTGAGTGTGTCCACAGGTTTAAGGTTATTGTTAAATCTGAGTTCAACTTGATTTAGCCAATTTTGTATCTATTTTTTTTCTTGATTTGTGGTTTTTGTAGTCGTTTTGTCACTTGACTGACTCTCCAACAAAAAGGTTGAAAGTCTCTTCTTGGTTCTCTGGTGTAGGGGCTCCATGACGCCCCGGGCCCCTGAGCCTGTGTCTGGTAGGCCTATTCATTAATCTGTCCTTGGCTAAACTGTCATGAGGTACACTTTTAAACACCACTGTGTCATAAAACCGTTGGATAAAGTATCTTTAAAGTGACTTCATTTATGTCTTTTCCATATTTTTTATATGTGAGAGCAAGGCATCCACAGGCTACTGTTTTAATTTGATGGATAATTCCCTCTGTCTTCCGTTCTTATCCTGGCTTGATTTGACAGCTGGACGCAGCTGGACGCGCGCTCCCATTCATCTAGCCCAGACGCGCACCCGCTCCCCGGTCACAGCTGCTGCCCAGGGGCTTGCCGTCACCAATTAGAACAACTGGATCGAGGGATGCGCACTTGATCTCGATTGTTTTGTCCTCCTAAAAGTCCCTCTGTCCTCTGTCACGATTCCTCTCCAGAGAGGCTCCAAGGGGTCTCTGTCGTCCCTTTGTCCCCGAAGCGCGCGGCTGAAGTGGTCGGTGGTCTTTGTGGTGACCGCTGTCGCGATGGTTTTGCTGGTTCTGGCCGTTGCTGTCCCGTTACTTCTGCTCCGCACCTCTGAAACCTCCGCTCATTACTATGAGATGATGGGCACCTGTCGGATGGTCTGCGACCCATATAGCCCCAAATCGGGAGGCGCCACCGCCATGGAGGTGATCCAGAACGGGAACGATGTCAGACCGGGTAAACCGGGACCTAGGGGCCCGCCGGGGGAGCCAGGACCCCCGGGTCCGAGGGGTCCACCGGGAGAGCGCGGCGACGGTAATCTCGCCTTTCCTACACTAACCGGAGCTGCGGGGACTGACAACGGAGAAACGGACGGTGTAAACTCGACGGCAAACAGTTTCAGAATCGCTTTTTACGTCGGTCTGAAAAATCCACATGAGGGATATGAGGTGTTAAAGTTTGACGACGTGATTACAAACTTAGGGAACCACTACGATTCGAGCACCGGGAAGTTCACCTGCCATGTGTCCGGGATCTATTTCTTCACCTACCATGTGCTGATGCGTGGAGGAGACGGAACCAGTATGTGGGCCGACCTGTGTAAAAATGGACAGGTAATATTAGAGATAATTAACAAGTTTTAATCCCAATCCAAAGCAATATCACGTGTTTTTGCTCATTTTACGCACAGAAAGGTCACTACATTGCCTAAAGCGCGCCCTTTTACGTTCCTTATCGCGAACTGTATAACTGTTTATTCCTGCAAATCGTGTCCTGAATGAATTAAACATAACATGAGTGAAATTGTTTGGTCAAATCCACGCCTGCCTACATGCTGTTGGTTAGGCACTGGCGTTCATGCGTAAATCCTGTTAGGATGAGTGTTTCCTCGACATGAGCTGGGTAAGGAGTCAGATACGGGTCTAAACATAATCAGTGTTCATTATAGCTGCTGGCAGAGGGTTATATTCAAACTTAGATAAGGAATTGGGTTGGATTCTATTCTATTATGCCTTGTGGTGATTTTGAATCCTTGGAATTTAGTAGGTGATGAATAGCTGCACCATTTTGTCTCTCGGGTATACATGGACTTTTCCACTCAGCTTCTATTTCTGCTGTAAACTATTGTTTATCACAAGGAGTCTTGTCCCCTTTTCTTCAGGTTCGGGCCAGTGCCATAGCTCAGGATGCAGACCAGAATTACGACTACGCCAGCAACAGCGCTGTGCTGCACTTGGACTCCGGAGACGAGGTCTATGTCAAACTAGACGGTGGCAAAGCTCATGGGGGCAACAACAACAAGTACAGCACCTTCTCCGGCTTCATCCTATACCCTGATTAAAACGATAATGTCAGTGGATAGTAATCATCACTGCAAACTGTTCCAGTTAAAGTATATGATCAACTATGTTTCTCTTCTTTTACTGCCACAATGCACAGACATTTCTGTTTATTTAAGATCAGCTGGAGGTTGTTGCCATCAGAACAAAATGCCAGGGTGAGTAAATATCACAGTACAGAGAAAATATAAAGGTTCTGTGACAAGTAGTCCCCTCATCACCAAGTGTTTTTACACAAATACTGAATTAATTCATCTTCTGATGTGGTCAGAGCTTTTTGTGTGTTTTATAAGCCAACAATAGAGTTTTATTTCTTAATGTTCCCCAAACACTAGCACATTATCAGTATTTAGGGTAAAATGGGACTTGGCAGTATGTCCTGTATTTATGCTTCAACTGGCATGCACCTTAACTGGATGAACTGGACCTGCTTTAAAAGTTATATTTAACTGAAATGGTCTAATGAGGTCAAATAAAAGAGCCAAAACTGATTAATTTCACATTTTACTGTAAATTCATTCATTAAGATGCAAACATTTCTAATTTAGCAATCTGATTACTGTAGCATGTTCAGTGTTTCAGAAAATATCCACACATGAAAGATACAAATGGGCATCTTGAATTCTATTTTGTTCTCATATATGCCAATAAAAATTGTTTGACAAAAAGTTTTTATTGTATGAACATTTCATACATGCTTCTGCAAGCACTTTACTCATAATGGCCTGAAATCTATCTGTACATTTTTTGTTCCACACTTATTATATGAAAACTATTTGAATGTGCTGCATTTGCCCATAAATCAGCCTCTCTACAGTTTGTCCTAGGTGCTTCCCTGAATGTCCTTTGCTTCAGCCATTTGTATGTAGTGAGCCCGGACACCATTCTGCTCTCCAGTATTTATTCAGAAAGGCTGCTGATATATAGTTGCCACCCTAGTGTTTAGTTATTACATGGAGCTACTGTATAAGACAAATTCTTTGTAACTTTTATAAATTTTTTGACATGCATTACTCAGCTACAGGCATTACTCATGTAAATTACATGCTTTTATTTTGAAGGATACCAAAATGGTTTAGTGGCTATACAGCCCAAGGTTACTTGTATATGCTGCAACATAAATAACTGGCTTTAAGTGTTTAAACAGTCTGAGAAATAAAAGTGGGTGGAAGCTGGTGGCTGCCGGCTCCTGTGTTTCACTTCTGATTAACTTGTATTGAGATTTGCAAATGCTGTACCAGATTCGAGTATTGCTGTAAGCCTTCATTAGCATGATGGCTGTTTTGTGCGTGTTTGATTTTTTTTTTTTTATTTCATCCTCTTGGGAACACACACAAAACAGCTGTTTACACACAACTCCTGTCACTTTAAATGGAAATCATGGAAAACAAATATTAGCATGTCTGGTTAGATAAACCTCTATTAAGGTGTTGGCGTATTTTCCTGCACTCAACAAACTAACTCTGCTCTCCTCAGAGAGGAATGCTAAACTTGAGCTGCTCAAGAAAAAGACCAAAAGCGAACAGTTTATGTATACATGCATTACTGTGCAAAAGTCTTAGGGCACCATTAGATTTGTTGCTTTATCAATGTTGTGACTATATGCTGTATAGTTATTTCTCACTCTCTTTATCAGAAGACAACTAGAAAGAGCAAACAAACTGGATACGCAAGCTGTGGTATTCAAGAGGTCAAGGACAAAAACAGCAGCGGAAGACCAAGAAAACGGTTTCTTCTTTGAGGAAAGGACTGGGAAGGGGGGATGGGGGGGGCTGCTAACTCCTAACAAAGAGCAGGAATTGAATTAGCTTTCAGTCACCTCCACTGTCTCCTCATTATCTGCACTTGAGGTAATTTAATTACAAATGACAAGTGTTTTGTAGGATAAAATATCAGTGTAACTTTTATGTCTAAGCTGGTTCTTTCTACTTCTGAAATGCAATTGTCAGGTCTTAGACTTATTGCATTTCACAATTGCATTTCAGAAGTAGAAAGAACCAGCTTAGACATAAACGTTTCCAGCTGAAAGGGAAGTATAAGGCACATCTATCAAGCTAAGCCCTACTTAAAACAGGATGAAAGGAGTAACCTTTATTAGCTCCTTTAAATCATCAGAAACAGCTTACCTAACAGATATCCTACATGATTCCCAGTGTTCACTTAAACATCCTTACATTGATATTTTATCCTACAAAACACTTGTCATTTGTAATTAAATTACCTCAAGTGCAGATAATGAGGAGACAGTGGAGGTGACTGAAAGCTAATTCAATTCCTGCTCTTTGTTAGGAGTTAGCAGACTTATTGTTGCCCTTTGTGTTTTTCACAATGCATCAATCAATAGTAAGAGGTAAAAGTATACTTCACCTTGCCCTAATAAAATTGGAGGTTAAAACTGGAAAACTGAATCATACAAGAGGACAATCAATACATATTTATATATAAAATGCAGACATGGCTAAAGGTATGTAGTTGCTGCAAAATATCCTAAATATTCAGGTGCTCAGTGAAAAAGGAGGGTCATCTACAGCTTTAAAAGACAAAGAAAGGATCCATTCAAAAGATGATGTGGGTCCAAAGATGACCAAGGTCTGGCATTCTTTAGAGGTCGCTTAAGGATTTCATATTATTACACTATAGCCAGGCTTGATTCACCTAATGTCTGAGATGATCATGGAGGCTTAGAAATCTGAATTGGAGCAGTGATGTGTCACCACAGAGTAGGCCTTTCAAACTGTTTAAAGCCCAAAGCATGATGGCCTTGTAAAGGCTCTCAGACCCCACTGCAGACACATTTAGGATGAAATGTGGAGCTGCTGACACCAAATGAGACATCAACAGCAATACGTGTCACTGGCTGCTAGACGAATGTTCACACACAGTCATATATAACAACACGATAGATGAACAGGCTGCTCCATCCCCCTAGTCTGGGCGGCAGTGAGGGATTGCTGACTGACAGACGGAGTAGTGAAATTCTCTGATAGATGAGATAAGTGGGACAGGGCCTCACACACACACACGCGCACTTTATGTACAGGGAATTTAGCTTGACAGGCAGCTGAGCAACAGGCATTGTACTGGAGTAATGGTAGCATGTGGCTGCTCAGCTCTGCCAGGTTTTGTCTAGATGTGTATCCTTTGTCTTTTGTGGCTGCCACCTTTATTAGCTATGATTTTTTTAATTAAACCCTGTGAGTCTAATCCATTGAAAGAGTTTCTAGTGCCAAAACATACCAGCCTGCTGCCCAAACACATTTCCAGCAGCAAAAAGCAGTCTGTGAGCATCCCATTGCAGAATCGACATGAAAAATTGTCACTGACAAGCTCCCTGCACCAACAGCCAATCATCGGGACATTTTTTAAACCTTTTCTCATTCCTTCACTGTGCTGCTTTTCTCCCCACGATGATTGATCCATGTTAATGCCTGAGATGCAAATGCTAGTGCACCACGAGTAAAATATAAAGAGGGACCTCTAGAGACCTGCAGAGGACGTGAAAGCTGATGAACCTCACTTTAAGTGACACCTAAACCTAATGCTTAGCCTCCTCTTTTGTTTGTTATATATGTTTTATTCAAGCTCACAGTCCACACAGCTGTGAGAGAAGAACATTGAGTGGAAAATTGAAGAAAAGAGGTTTAACCAAAGAGTCGGTGCACTAAAAACATAGCTATGTGCATTGGAAGAATGACTGAAATTGGATCATTTGTTTAAGAAATACACAAACTTTAGGGACTGTATGAAAATTATTAGCAGGCATTAGATGGATAAAAGGTGGGGAGATATTTAAAAGTGTAGAATGAAGTATCACTGATTGAAATAAGGATTTTACTTGAAAGAGTGAACAATGGGGCTTATGTAGGATGCATATGGGGTCAGTTGTCTATGATTGGCTATTACTTATCAGAACATGAATCATGATTAACAGTCTAATCATTTGAGAGCTCTCTTAAAGTCTTTCTTAAAACCACGACTTGTGCAACCAGTGGAGACTGGCAAGTCACTGTGCTAGGCCAGGAAAAAGTTCCAGCACCTGTAACACTGTGCAGCATGTGTTGTATACTTCCATGTTCATGTGGCATATTTCAAATAAACTGTACATTGAACAGCAGGAGAAAGCCAAGCTAAAAGCCTCCAATGTATCATCAAGGGACAATTAATTAATCTCTGCTAAAATGTGCTGTCTGTCTGTTTGACATCAAACAGTTTGAATATTATCTGTATATTATACTTTTTAATCTACAGGACATGGTAAAACGAGGTCAGTATTTCAACATGTTATCAGCTGATTTACATCTCAACAAATGTAAAACCTTTGTGGCGTCTCATTTTGACAGGTGCGCATCTCAACAAATGTAAAACCTTTGTGGTGTTACTGCTAATGTCCGTCTCATTTTGACAGGTGCAGAGAGCAAGGTCAGTTTTCCACGTGAACCTAAACAACACAGAACCAACACAAAAACAGAGACTGAGACATTCATATGGATTTGCTTTAGCGGAATGTATTCTCAGTGTGCTGCAATTCACATGTTGGATAATGATGCAGCCAAATGCTGACTCACATCTGTCGGGCTGCACTTTAAAAATCGCATCTTCTTTGTGGTTTAATCGGTCAAATAAGGGGAAAGAGAAGAGAGAGGAGAGGGTGAACCAAGGGAGCGAACATCTTTTTTTTTCATGGAGGTAAATACAAGAAGAGAATGACAGCAAATGCAACGCTTGAGGGGGTTTGAACTTGTGGTTAAGCTTACTGGACAAATGTGTGCTTTCTGAAAAGACAGTAAGCACCAAGTTCATGAACACAATCTTATGAATACATGTGTGTTTTTCTAGTCTTATGACTGGCTTATTGTACAACATGTCATCTTATTATTAATGTTATTATTATATTGCATCTGGGATTTCCAGAGATTATATCACTGACTGTGAAATGCACTGAAGCATCACTCTTGGATATCTCTTGATCATTTCATAGACCAAATGATGACTCAGTAAAAACAATAATTAGTTGGAATTGGTGAATACACTAACTTTCTCACTGTGCTCTTAAGACATCTTCAAATTGAATACTCATTTAAACTATACATTATACATTTACTTAAATAGAATATTTATTGTCTTGAATGGCAGTTGTGTTTTATCTTCATGAGGACACTTGAGCCTAATATGCATCAATACAAGAATTCACATGCATGTACACAGATGATTTGCAGACAGGCAGGAAAATGGCAGAAACACATCTCTGTGTTGTTCTCAGGGTCAGGCCTTAATGAGAGGCTAAACGAGACTACGCAGAGATCAATCTCACACACACGCTCACTCTGTACTTTATCCCTACAACCATCATCTCCTCCTCCCCTCTGTCTCTCGTAAATTTTGTCGTTATTTATGTCCTGCCTCTGCTCTCAGCTTATCATGACAGACAGGAGCTTTAGCACCACCGTCCACCTCAGTCTAAATCTCCTGCTATGGTATTTCTGTTAATATGAAGCCAACGGTCTCATTTCATGCTATACAATTTTTTAGCTTATTAAGATTACATACATTAATGTTCCTTTGGAGATCCCTTAATCTTTTTCTCCTGTGCAAACATTTTAGTGCTAGCAAACACTCAAACTGTGTAAAATGGCCATCATCTGTCTGCTTTCAAATCTGATAATGACTTATCTGAGGTATCATTTATTTATTACCATGTCTCTTAGGAGCTTTTTGGAATCCCATGTCAAGCAAACTGTCATTTCTGAATATAGGGGAGTAAAGGTTAAGGAAATAAATGATTGGAACAGGCAGCTTTATTGTAATAAAGCCAATGAGGACTATATCTTTCATCTGTCCTCCGGCTGATGACAGTGACAGGCTGAGGATGCCAGATGAGAGAGACGATCCTCAGAGACTCGACTGAAAGGTTAGAGTGGCCCCAGGCAGCATGGCTGATGAGATCGCAGACACACTAAGAGCCTTCAGTCACACGTACATAATGGTGCAGCATACAATCCTTAGTGGTGTATGTCATTATACAGGCCATTTAAAGAGCAGAACAAAAGCACTGATTATGCTCATTAAGATACAGCTTTAAAAGAGTTCAAATGAGGATGGAAAAAATGGGAAAATTAATACAAAAGTATAATAATGAATACATAAGAATAATCATGTATTAATGAAGGCAAATACATTCATGAGTACATGAGTACAGCCATGCAAGAGGCTCTGTGAGACTGCCTTGAGCTAAATGCTAACGTCAACATGCTAACATGCAGCTGATGTACACCTCAGCTGTTAATGTTAGCATGCTAACATTAACAACTGAGGTGATGATGGGGCTATGACACGTTAAGGTATCGCCTAAGTTCCTGCAGGTCACCCAGAGGGGACTACAGTGGCAACCCATCCAGGAATTGTCCAGACATTTCACTACAAACCAAACATTTCAAGCTCCTGTTGATGCTGGACAAAAAGTGAGGATGAGCAATGTCAGTAGGCTTCATCCTCTGGAGCCCATGAATGTCTGTAGAAAATGTCATCCAACAATTGTAAAAATATGTGGTACTCAGTAAAAACCAACAGATCGACACTGCAATGCAGAGCCAAAAAGTTCAATATACAGAGATGAAAAAAGAAACAAAAACTGAAGAGACACTTTATAGCAATGTCGTGCTTTGTCGACACAAGCAGAGCAAAGTGTCTGCATTGATTTAATTTGCCAATTACCAGATGGGGCCCATTTATCACTACCTTAAGCTTTCACAAACTTCTCAGCAAGATGTAATAAGACTGAGCAGCAATCTGTCCCCCACTTCTCATTAGGACTCTAAAGAGCTCTCCCAAAGTTTAATTATTTATCTGCATTAATATCCCTTCAATTATTAATGACAGGTGTGTGTGTGTGCATGTGTGTGTGAGGGCCAAAGATCAGCCCTCCTTTACCTCAGCCTTCCTCCTGATTAATGGATGAGGGAGAGGAGCCCTTCATGTATTATTACTGGGGGGAGCCCGGACCTT